TATAGGGTTTAGGGTTTAGGGCTGAACTCGGAACCCTGCTGCGAGGTGCTGCAGCAGTTGGTGCCACCAGCCGATCAGCTGCATCCCCCACAATCCACTGCGCAAGCCCACTGCGTAGTACAGCCAGAGAGTCCGCGCCAGATCTGATCGTGACGATGATTTTCGTTGAATTAGGGTTCAAGAGTCTACCCATAGGCCCCTAAGTAGTTCCTTTTTTATGGTTCATATTTAGACTCCTATAAGGTAATCCCAAAAAGGAACTACTTAGGGGCCTACGGGCACCCTTCAACAGAGAAGCGAGGTTGGGCAAGCACAGGTTGACACGGCAGCATGGACAGCCGAGCCCGGTCTGCATCCTACGACTTTGTCGGTTGCAAACCGTAGGCCATACCGTAGTTCCAGGAGCTTTTCCAAACACCAAGTGTCCGGCACCAGCATGCCCGCACGCGTCACACCCTGCCAGGCCCCCCAAATGTGGAAACAACAAAGGCTCTCGGGTCCCGGGCTCCTACCCCACCCTCTGCCCTGCCCCTGATCGGGGGGTGAAGCACTCCCCCACCCCCCCCCCCCACCCCCATGGTACCCCACCCCTGCCCTGTGCGGAAAGCGGCAATCTGCGCAGTTTTTTCCCACATCAGACATGAATAATATACAATGCTTGATTATGAGGGTTGTATATCCTTTTGATGGTACTCACGATGGAGATGACGACATCAATGCTGATGCTGCGCATGATGTCAAAGATGATCCGATTGTCGAGTCACATGGCCGTCTAAAGCAGCACAACATCATGAGCAGTATCACCGGTGCTACAGCAAGACGGAAGATTAAGAGTGAGCGTAACAGTAGTTGACTCACTAATCGTGACAAGAGCTCCTTGTGTTACACGTGTTGCGTACTCCCCTTCAAGCCAACCAAAGCCTCAGCTAAGGGGGGTGCAGACCCCACCACAACACCGAAACCACAGGGGCGGGGGATGCGACGGGGAAGGGTGTGGCAGCCCTGCATCATATATGGGTGTTTTCCGGCCGCCTGTGTAACGGCTTGGGCCTTGAGCTTGCATGTTGGGTGGTTGGGTGGCTTGGTTTTGGCCTTCCTCCAATGGCTGTGCATGTGATCATCCGTTCTTGAGCTTCGCCCCTGCCCCCACTCTCTCTGGAACAGGGACCCTCCACACAGGCGCCCAAGGAGGGGGGCACAGAACGCACAGACACAGACACATCCATCTATGCATCCTTCATGTTGGTGATTGAGATGTATGTAACACAAAGTCGCGGGAAGGTCTAGGTAAAGTTTCTTGGCTGTTGTAGCCATGGAGGCTTGAATTTAACATGAACGGGGAACCTCAAACGTACGCCTGCCATTCAGTCGACTGCCTGCCGGTGGCCAGAAGAGGCCGCAGCGAACAGCCAGGCTGGGAAAGAACAAAGATCCTGCACAGAGATTGGAATTTTTGGCCAGAGTTTAGAGTACAGCGTCATAGTGAAACTACAGTACACTGGCATGCGGCATGCACCGACGATGCCTTGTGAACCAGGCGATGCTTGGAAGCTTAAAAGAGAATCGCCTCCTTGGGGGGGTTGGCGCTTCCCTTGTGGAGCGGGAGCCTGTCAACCCCTCCACCGTACAAGCTCTAAGCTTAACATCCCTATTCCCTAAACATCCCTAAACCCTATAAAACTTACATTCTGAACCGCATGATCAACAAAAGCAGCACCTTCTAGCCTGAGCCCCCAAAGAGGACGATCCACACTAAGAGTCCCAACAAGGACCCTATCCCTACACCCCAAAGAGGATCATCCATACAAAGAGTCCTAACAAGGACCTTTATCCCTACACCCCTGGCCACCTCCGCCGGGGATCCGCCAGAAGCCGAGCCAGGTCCCTTTCCACCTCATCCTTCGCGGAGACCTGTCGGAAAGAGGGCGTTTAGGGTTTTTAGGGTTTAGGGGTTTAGGGTTTCGGAAATAGGGTTTAGGGTTTAGGGCCGCGGTGATACCCAGAAACTCCAATCTCTCTGAACTCCCATCAGCATCATCATCGTTCTCTCACTATTGCCACCATGATGACCATCCGCAGACCACGCGTAAAACCCTGCCCCTCGGCCTTGCTGCTGAAGGTGCCCTGCGGTGCAGACAAGAGCGGAGGTCGCAGCATTCCTTGCAAGATGCGGAGATTCAGGTTTAGGGCTCCCGGGCTACTTTTAAAATATTTAGGATTTCAATATTGTAGGGTTTAGGGTTTAGGGCGAAGTGCCAGCAAACTGGCTGAACATCTCGAGGTCTGCACGGTTAAAGGCTAATTTTGCGGTCATCTGGTTTAGGGTTCAGTGGCGATTCCTCCCAATCCGTACCAAGCGGGATCGTTTGGTAGGACCTCATACTGTCCGTACTTATGTGGAAGGTCTCTTTATTTCGACACGAAAGCAATCCCAAACAAACAGCACCCTATACAATGACCCAAAACCGCACAACCCAACTGTTGAAGGTGTCCAGCCCTTTTAGGAACAGCGAAGTATGTGCACTTCTCGCAACGGCTGGGACAATTGCGAATCTCAGTACGTAGCCAAGCAAAAAACAGCAAGAGGCTGTAGCGAAACAACCAATCTTGGCAATCGCTGTGCAGAGCACTATCGAGAACGTTTACCAGCTAGAGGATGTGCAGTTACTCAGCTACGCATTCACATGACTCAAGAGGTCGCTCCACGCAACCTCCCCATAAGCCAAAACAAGACAGTTCAAGCAATCGCATTACTTGCAGACTACCACTGCTCAAAAATAACAGGCTGGGAGTGTTGTCAACGTTGGTATAGACTCTAAATTAACTACTACAGCCGTGATATAAGATGACCAAAGAACGTGACAAAGCCCCAGAAGCTGCATATGCCTCACACAGCATCCTGCCGAACCCAATTTCTATCAAAGACTTTATTCAACAGCAAGATCCGCATCTTCAAAGCCTCGAAACCTCATGATGACCGTTTATCGCAACCTCTGTCGAACTCCCCCACCAGCACCGCAAAAATGGTGGAGACAAGCTAAGTGAGGCTCCAGAAATGTGGGCGAGGCAGCCGTCTGGAAGCGGATGATCCCCTTCCTTGGGCCACGATTTTGACACGCACACTCGCACAAGGCAGGCAAGGATCGGGGCTCGAGGTTTACGCTCTCACAACTCGGACATGCCAGGCGAGGTCAATGGTACGTGGTCGGCGTGAGACAGGAAGCAAGGACCCCCAGCTGCATAGACCAACTTCCAAAAAACCAGCAATCTAAAACCCTTACCATAAAAGCTCCGAAACAGGGGTCCCCGAAACTACAGCAAGACAGCCAGCTCACCGAAGTCCAACAACCACGTTGAACAAAAGCCAGTAGCTAATATCTAAGTGAACTGCCTATCCCGGCGATGGGTTCTACGACTACTCCTAGGAACATGCGGGATTGAACAAACACAGCAAGCTAAACTAAAATTCTCGAGCCTGTAACCCCAAAAATCTCCACCCAGCTTCCAGCTTTGGCTCCATCTCCTTGTTGAACGTGTCGTCTTTTCTCTCTGGTGCCTAGGGTGTGAAGGTTGAGGGTCCTCAGGAATGCGCCCCAAAAGCTTCAACGAATCTTCTTTCAGAAAGTATCTTAAAGCCAGTTTCTGGATAGCTTATTTGTTCTTATACGTCTGGCTTTGGGCCATTTGTTGAAGCAACCAATCCCAGACTTGACGAAACCAGCGCATCTCATGTTACAAGCCCTGAAACCAACACCGAAAATCCTACACTTACACCCTATTACATACCAGAATTCAGACATCCGCCGGTGACCTCTGTATGGCTCGCTGCCTCGTCGAGCTCCACGGCTTCCTCCATCTCACCGTCGTTGCTGACGGATCGGCCTACTCTGGGCGAGGGTTTTTGGTCTACTTACATCAAAACTCCACAAGAGAAAGCCACAGGCCGGAAACATGTAGTTCTCGCAGGGTTCGGTTGTACGTGTTGGAGTTTACAAACACGAAACTAAACCTAACCTATGGGGATAGGATTTAAGGTGCTCACTCTCAGAGTTACTAAACCCTAATTAAATCAAACCCTTAGCCCTAAACCCGAGAGTGGCCACCAGGGAAATTCCTCTGCGGCTCACGGAGATGCGCACAAAGGCCCCTGGAATTACTGTAGGCTGAAGCTTTGGCTTCTCTTATGGACTTCTCGCCTTACCTGAATATAGGATTTCGGGTTTAGGGCTGCAAAAGTGATGTATCTGTCAAGTTCGAGGGCATGGAGCTCGCTGAAGACTGAGGGTTCGGATTTTGTGTCCGGCCGCACCTAAATGGAGCCACGGATCGGGAAGGCTTGAGATCGCTCGTCTCCGAAGACTGATGTTCAGCACTACATGCCTTCTTAAACCGCATGCCCCTAAACCCCGAACTCCGCAGATTAGGCCTCGGAGAAAGTGAGCGTGCCACCCGCAAACTCAAGGTGGCTTCCACAGGAAATTGTACGAAATCCGAAAGGCAACCCACAAATGGCTACCCGAGTTTCGGGTATTTTGTGGAAGCAGAAGTCTCCAACTTCCGCAAAGGTGCATGCTTCATGGAGCCGCACAGACGTGAATTCGTGAAATGTGAGAGTTGATGAGGCCTACGTCATCTTCGGGGTTTCAAGACGTTTACCGCAGGCTCATCACCAAGCTCTCTTCAAGGCCAGGAAAATTTGGAGCTCCGACAAATCCAGCAGTGGACATAGAGTTGGGGCTTAAGTAGGGTTTCGGAGCATCTCCCACTGCCAGACAAGGAAGGTTCCCCGCGAGGTTGTTTGCAGCCTTCACGACCGGCGAAGCTACAAGACTACAAGCACCCCTCAGACAGAAGATTCCCTCGCCTAGCCTCGAGCGCTCGGACCATGGGCGGTTTGCATACTTTGAGTAAACATGCATGTCTATGTGTGTGGGCTGATGTTACCTGTGAAGACGTATTGACCGAGTGCTTGATGCAATACATTAAGGGCTCCGACATGCTCAGGCGTCTGGCGGAGCTGGACTGCCCTCGTTAGCAGTCATAGGATGCACCTTGTCAAGAGCAACTCCAGTCGTCGATGCGAACGTGTTGATCTCGATGCTGTAGGCTTTGGACGGCGAGTGCTTTACCGCATCGAGGCCGGCATCTTGGTCAGCGTCGGAGACCCGGAGGAAGCCGCTAAAACGTAGCGGCAGGAAGATCAGGGCCGTCCAGAAGCCTGACCAAATGGTGATCATGACGATCTCCAAAAGGTTTGCTGCGAGGCCTTCTCCATTGGCACCCGCCAGGCAGCCGCTGTCGTCGGAAACACATCCGAAGCCGCTCCACCCATGATGGAAGTCGAAGCCCTCGCCCCAATCGAAGAGCGCTGCGGCCAAGACACCCCATGCACCGCAGGCGCCGTGCACTGCGAAGGCGTCGATGGGGTCGTCCACCTTCATCAGCTTCAACAGCGAAGACGCTCCCTGATAGATCAAGCCGCCCATGATTGCAATGCCGAAGGCACTGCCGCATTCCACGTTGCCGCATGGAGCTGTGATGGACACCAAGCCTGCGAGGATGCCGTTGCAGAAGCCGCCGATGTCGTATTTCCCACGAGTCATGCCCAGGCGCAGCAAGAAGACAACGATGCCACCGGTCGCAGCAGCGATGGTGGTGTTCATAGCCACCTGCGCAGCCATAAAGCCCTGTGCAGCATCGTTCATGCCCAATGCGGAGCCACAGTTGAAGCCGTACCAGCCGAACCACAGAATGAAGGTGCCCATGGTGATCAGGGGGAGGCTGTGGGGTGCAAACTCATCTGGATATTGGAAGCGCCCCGCGCGCGGTCCCGCAATGATGGCACCCATCAGGGCGCCCACACCACCGGTCATGTGCACAACACCGCTGCCGGCAAAGTCCATAAAGCCTCATAGAACATTTGCGAACAATTTAGGGGCAGCATTGCTCGACCCTGACAAAAGAAAGCAAAACTCGTACAAGCACAAGACCATGAAGCCCACGCTGTTGAGTGACGCAAGCCATCCATATCCCCAGGTCCATGCCACAATGACCGGGTAGACGAAGGCGGTCATGGCAAAGGAGTAGAGGCAGTAGCCACCGAAGTTCACTCGCTCGGCCACGCCGCCGCTCACAATGGTGGAAGCTGCGGAGCAGAAGGCCTAGCTGCTTCACCAGTAATCTATCAAATCTGTCAGTATAGCCCCTTGAAGACGGATGAAAAAAAGGGGTATTGCAATTTATCCATTCTCAAGAAGGAGGTATACTGGGCAACCTAGAGGCCCACTGGAAGAACCAGTTGAGCATGCCTGTTGTGGGTTCAAACTTGCCATCGCCGGCATAGTTGACAAAGCCCATGCCGAACCACTGCTCAGTACCTTCGTGGCTGAGTACCCTGGCCAAAAAAAGGTTTGGCCAAAAAAAGGTTAACCTTTTATATTCTGGTAGGATTTTATAAGCCCAAAAAGGTTAAAGGCTACCTACTCAGCTACTAAGGCTACTAAGGTACCCATGAACCCATTGTCCAAAAACCCGTCGGCATTCATCGGCCCGCCGTAGGCAATGGCCCATCCGGAGATCCACCAACCAATGGTCCCGATGCAGACATCAGTGAGGTTCTTGAGCAGGATGTTCTGCACATTCTTGGCACGGCAGCATCCAGACTCCACCAATGCGAAGCCAGCCTGCATGAACATCACCATTGCTCCGCAAATTATAAGCCAGATGTGATCCAGGTTGCTCTTGACCGCTTCGATGTCCGTGTAAGCACGAGTTGAGTTCGAGATCATTCCATGGATACTGGGCTCGAGAGCAAGACGACGCTCCTGGAGTTGACGCTCCTGCATCTCTTGGGCCCGGGCGGTCAAGACCTCCTGCTGCTGCTGCTGCAGGAGACGCTCCAAAGCTTCCACGCGCTGCCGCAAGCTTTCGTCACCCTGAGCTACTGCACCTGGATGGGGGGGAGATATGGGGAGATGCTTAATCAGATTCCTCATGCCAGCTGCGTTCGTAACCTTAGAAAGAATTCCCACCTGCCACAACTGCGGCGATGCATAGGAGGCGCATCATGACTTGTTGAAGAGTTGCACGGAGCCGGCGCACACGTTGTCTACGAACCTTCCTGCTGGAGCCCAAATGGCTGAGGGCGAAACAAGGGAGTGTTAGAGATCTGTATGTGTATATGGATGCCTAATTAACAGGCACTGAAAATAGGGAGCCTCCTGTTCCAAGAGAACCCCTGCATTCTTTCCAGCAACATATCTTCCATGCGAGCGAGCAGAGGCATCCATAGCCAATACTGCAAATGACATTCCAACCATGGCAGGACCGTTCACCAACAAAGCAAACCGAATTCGCTCAGCTCTGGGGTCTCACCGTCTGCAGCACAGCTCGTTTGTGCCAAGAGACCGAGAAGGATTCAGCGTGACTTGTGTTGAATGTACATCCAGCGAGGTAAAGAATCGTTAGGCCTTACTCCCCTCTCTTTCGGACCCTGGGGGCTCTGTATACTTCCACCATCCCTAGACTCCCACAAAAGGATGCGTCCCGCAAGCCAGCCCTAAGCCAGCCCTGCAGTTGTTAAAAAACAAAAGAAACTTACGTCGTGTGTACTTGCATAAGTATTCACATACATACATACATACATCCTTCCATACATACATAAAGGACCCACAGAGACCCCGCCTCGGTTCACCCGCGCGTGGAGGTAGGCAGCCACGTATCGCCTCACTTCGCTGCTCGCCGCGCGACATCGGGCCGTGGACTTCATGGCCACAGCGTCGAAGACAGCTCTCCTTCAAAGTTGCTTGGCTTTTCCTCACACGTAGTTACGGACGCATAATTATACTCATGTGTGTGTGTGTTACATCTTGGTGGGTGCATGTGCATGTGAAGGTATGTTCATGCATACAGGTATTTATGGTGTGTATATGGTATATAGTATATACAGTATACCAATATACATAAACATAGGCACTTGTACATCTACATATATATATATGTATATATATTACATATACATATAGATATATACATACACATACATCCATCCATCCATCCATCCATCCATCCATCCATCCATCCATCCATCCATCCATCCATCCACACATACAT